AAATGCAAATGAGGCAAGGAAGACTGAGGCCTCAGTAGATCAAAAGTCTACGTTTAAGCGTAAAATAGTTCAAACTGAAAAAAATTAAGGAACAGTTTAAAGCTTTAAATTCAGTCCATTAAAGATATATATAGTTGTGTCAATTATAAACATTAAAGATTATACAACACGGTCTTGTAATAAGTGAAATCATGACTGCATAATCAGCGTGAAATTGAATGTTTAACTATTCTGTCATTGATTGATGACTGAATATTACGGTGCATAGCGATCGAAGTAGAAATTTTTGAGTTCTTTAGTTGATTAAAAACAAACAACTGATACTAACTTTTTTATAATTTACGAATTAGGAGTAAACCTTTAAGAAGTAATATGATAAAGAGAAGGAATTCCTGTTATATCTAGAGTTTAAATCCTTGATATACTGCGTACAACTTGAGCACTCGAAAGCTAGAACCCTCCGAGTCGTAAATGAAAAGACAGAAGACGAGTGAGAAGGAATGCTATTCCAACAGTGTCAAATATGGTACAAAACTCTTGGATAATTATAGTTTTTAGTAAAAGCAAAATCCGATCCGCATACAGGGGTTTTTAGCAATTATCCAGTAGGGAAGCTGCAGTAGACATTCTGGAATGTTCTTCCGAAAGATTAGATAAAATATCTTCGGCTCTTCCTTGAGTTCACCCGTAGGCCGTCTACACAATTATTTATGAGTAGGGGAGGGTACTGAACAAAATGTAGCTTAGACAACACTATGAAAATGGGCTATAAAAACATCAGGAATATGCCTAGATATTGAACATTGAGGGCGGTAAAAGTGATTTCTATGCATAGTTGTTTATTATTCACAATACAGATGTATAATATTTTGAACACTATCGAGATATCACTTAAGATTTTCGATTTCATATAAACGACACTAAGAGCATAACTACAGTTACGTTTACTGGTACTATCAGTACCCCAAATTGAAGTACAGTTGGAAATAGTCCAATGATTAATTGTAAAACCATCACCAACATCCTGGATACAAACAAAGCACGAGATGTGGAACAGTATGGCAGCTTTAAAATGTCTTGAGCATAGTGGAGCTTTGATTAATTAACTTACAGACCAACAAAAATCAAATAATCTATTCATTTACATTTGAAATAGGTGCTGATGAAGGCAAGCTCCGCAATTGAGCTATTCAGATTAGAATACTAACCAAAACATTAAATTTACGTGTATTATTTTTAAAAACCGTGTCGTTATAATCCAAGACAATAAGTATTGTTTCTGGCCCATGAAAAGTTTATCTTAAAAATAACGTGGTAACTATTCCTCTCCCTCCAAAAATAAAATCTGACATTTTATAGATTACAGCAGTAATGTAATTTTAAAACATTAGGAAATCAAAGCCATTCAGGAGTGAAGTCAAAAATCCACCACAATATCTACAACGGTTTTTAACATGTCAGAGGACTATTTTTAAAATTTATTACATCTTCGTATAAAAAGATGATCACGTAAAATTCGGAGTACCGTCGAAAACCATGGAACATTGGATAGTTGTTTTGTCCTAATGATGTCACTTATTTACCCAGTACACGGTTATTTACTCAGCTTTCAAAGTGTTTGCGAGAGCTAGTGATATAACTGTGGCTAACCAAACTGAATTATGTTCTGAATGGCTTGGACCTGAAACATAATGCTTAAAAATAGGGATTTGTATCTAGTACACCGCTGCTGTTCCGCGTGAGATTTCCCGAAATTATCCACTAACAGCCTAACCAAGGATCGGATCTAAGACAATCAGTCCTTGCGGGAAGCGCTTAACCTTTAGAATGATAGTCATCAACAATGAGATTGATTGAAGCAAGTGATGAGGGTCGTCAAATACCAACTTAGTAGTTTACGTGTTAGACGTTCACCTTGAAGCCTAAAAGTCTAAATTCGATTCCTGTCGGGAGTTTTTGATGCGCACAATCGAGTTTCATAATACGACGAAGCAGCTATCTAATGCACCTTGGTTTCCAATAGAACCGGAAATGGTACCAATATGTAACGAGAATTATTTACAAATTATGCTGACCATAAAAAGCCCTTTAACAAAAAGTTAGTTTTATTTAAATTTTTATACCAACTAAAGAATATAGCTTTAACATTAATCCATATAAACCTTGTAAAACTATTCAAAATAAACATTACATAGAGAAAGACAGAAAAATTTTTAAAAGCGAATTTCAAAAAGTCAAATTGTTACATCAGATCAAGCAAAATATAAAACATTAGTGACTTAACAAAACAATACATTTGTCTTAAAATGAATACAATCAACCCTTAAGCATAACAAAAATGTCAAATCATTGTTTTTCAGATAAAATTGTGAGGCAATATAGTGCCTAAAGAAACTCTTGATCTTTAATATACATATATATACTTAAGCAATCATGTTTTTTTTTAAAAGATTAGTTTTGTTGTTTTTAAAAAGTACACAGTGAATTTCATACAATTTAATTTAGTAATGTACAGGAAATATTTTAATTTTGTTTTAACCCATTAATAAAACCCGTTTACAGAAAGTCATAACCATAAGTAACAATGCTTAATGTACTGAAGTAATAACACCGATCTACCCCATAATCAAATTATATCAAGAAGTACCGTACGATGATTTTAAATTTGTTACAGACAAACGGATTGCTCATTATGAATGGTAAGTTTTCGTTTTCTGGGTATACCTCCATTAATCAGACAATGGCTAGTTATACTATACTACATAGGTTCCAAAGCCATAATAACACCAGTAATATTTAGATATATCAGTCTATAATTGGAAGTCTAGTTTTTAAACCACAGTAGTAAATAAAGTATTTTCACAATAGTGATCTAAAGTTAATTACATGGGCGATAATAATAAGTACAATAATTATCAAAATGTTTTTTAAATTAACTAAGGTGACTAGTCAAAATGGTGCCAAAGAATTAGTAACTCGTTAATATATTCACCGCATACAAATTAACGTGAATGTTAGCCTAAAATGTAAATGTTTCGCTAAAGTAACTTATGATAGGACATATATAATAATGGTAACATTAATTTGCATGTTTATATCAAGTATATTTGCAAATTTATATGATTGAATACGTTTTTTAATTAAGTGATAAAGTACTACACACAAAATAAAGACCAAGTAATTGTTTCTTAAACAGAAAATAAACCAATACTTTTAAAATACGTACCACGCACATATGTATACTGGCTGAAACGATTATTTTAACAAGTAATTATAACACAATATTCATTTATATGTAAGATCAAAGTACGATGTACTAAATTCTGTTAGAATTTTATTAAAAACAGAATTATACTTAAATGTTTCATGTGTACATGTTTATTTAAAATATGTACACACCTAAGAAAAACTTAAAATTTTTGAATACAAAATAACCTTTCTGAAGGCTCCTTACAACTAGTACTACAGTGAAAAATTGGTATATTGATGACGTATAATCGCTAGATGTTTTAGGTATTTAACTCGATAACTGACATGTGGATAGATACTGTAATATCGGAAAACCCCCTTGACTTAAGCATTTAGGTAACGTAATGTAAGTTTTAACCACAACTATAGACTATTGATAGCACATATTCAACTGACATTACTAAAGCTTTATACTTGTATGTATAAAATAAGTCGAGAAAAACATAGTGCTCAATTGCTTCTTGATGCCTTCGTACCAACTGGTATATATATATATATATATATATATATATATATATATATATGCTAGATCAAATTTCTTTTTCACATATTAACTCGACAATTGGAATATAACATAAAGGCGAAGTTATTTTATGGGACTACAGACAAAAATTTTATTTTTTCATCTGCATGCAAGCTGCTTGACTAACGATACAAAACAGTAAGAAGAGATAAATTTTTTTAGGATTTTACATTAGCGGAATAATGTTCTTCGTTTACTAAACACCCTGATAAACAAGAGTAGAAACACAAACAGCAAAAATATCGACTACTCAACAAACAACCTGTGTTAGGCTGACTCAAAGTTAAGCATAAAAGACAAATAAATTTACAATTACTCTGAGGATACGTAAATTATGATCAAAGTAAGTGGTACATCATTGTTTTTTCGATATCAGTTACTTTCCATGACTAGAAATTATGCAGTTAGTGAGGACCGGTCTGATAACACGATGCCTGTGATACTAGTAATGTTTTAAAAGGAAATTTCTTCCGTTTTACCATTATTCATATTCTTAGATATACTGGCATAATGTAGGCCCAGTTATTGATATCAAAGGCACACGGAAACAAGTCTTATAAATGCCGGTAATGCACAAGTTAGTTTCGATTGTCGTTGGAGCAGTGGGTAGATATTCACAGCTTGAGTGCTGTAGGAGGTATGAAGGTAGTTTTCATTTTCCGACTGCCCACGACATAGAAGGGCTCTTCTAGAGCACTTCACATTGAATCAAGAAGTCACAGCTTTGAGCTTCCTTACTTCAGTTGGGAGAATCATATATTTTTATCACTAGTTTATTTGAAATGACCAGAATAAAACACCTTTTGTTACAAAAGACGGGAAAAACAAAAGATAAATTCACCGTACAAATTTTATGATAACCTTATTTTTTAAGAAATTCTTCACTTTGGTGTCATAAACTAAGGGAATATAAATTATCAAAACGCTATGCAGCTGGTTCTCTTCACAAGTTCAAATGATGGCAAAATATATCAGTGTAAAGCATCCTAAAGTTTAGAAGTCCTGATAAGGTTATATAGTTATAAATTTAAATACAAGTAGAAACTGTATAGTGACGAATACTATAGCCAATCTAAAGTGTAACCGTCGACAACAAATGTGCAATAACTTTTGAATCTAAAACCAAGATATCTATCTATAAATAATTAGCAAACCAATTAAATATGCTAAATCTGGCATAGATGAAGCAGCTATAAAGTGAAAAAGGAAGAACTAAAAGGGTGCTTACCTTGTGAACAATATGCTTTAGGAATAACAGAGAAATATATAACAATACACAGGAATCTGCATAAATTACTTATGTAAAGAGTTAAGTATTGTCTTGCACATGAGAATTTAAAACTAATCCACATAGTTAGTTTGACAAACTGAGATTAAATCCAAGTGGTACTAATGAAAATAGATCATGAATTATATTGTCAGCTACATCAGCTTCTGTGTAAAACAAGGGTAATGTTTCGTATATCCCTAAAAAAAAGAAAAATAACAATGATCGTGACGTAACAATATTCCTAATAAAATCGATTACTGATTATTCGAAAATTTTATTTTACGACAACCATATAAATATTATTAGGTAGAAAAATAACCAGCTTAATAGACAACGGTTAATAACATTTAGCGCTAACATAGTACGTTCTTTCAGGTCCAACAGAATCATGTGTATTGTCATTAACAAGAAATCAGTACATTATGTCTACAGTTAATAAGTATTGCCGGTGTACTGAGATCCTCACGTCTTATAAACCCCAGCTTTTGTGAGAAATATGGACGAAATATTGCAAAAGAGGACGAAAGTCTGACGAAACATTATGAAACGATACACATACGTGCTAAGATGATATATTTACTTGGACACCTAACACTAACTAAACGCGTGTACTTACATTAGAGTCGAAAGTGTTTACAAGGTCAATTACACAAATATTTGAAGCGGGTAAACAAAATCGGGCATTGAAAAATTCAATAATTATGCATCCCAAATTCAGATTTTTGATTCGGATTTGTGTAGTAAGAACAGAAGGCTTTAAAACCTTTGTTATCCCTTTTCCAGTGTGTTTTTGTGAGTGTCTAGTCTTCTCTTGAATGTGTCAACTGAAGGTACGGACACCACTGCTTCGAATAACAGGTTCCAAGAATTGATGACTTGGTCTGAAAACCTGTAATCCATGGTTATCTTGTTCGTTCTCGGCTTTTCTACTCGCTTTCTATATCCTTCTAGTGGGAAGAAAAAGAGGAAATATTTTAGGTCCGAAATCATTTCCTAGTATTTTATACATCAAAATTAGATCACCTCTTAAAAAGCTCTAGCTTGTCAAGCCGCTCTTTGTACAGTGAACACCAGAGTTCTGGAATTGCACAGGTAGCTGCCTTCTGAACGTTTTCCAGTCACCTTTTAAACAGTGGCTTGCAACCTGAACGCAGTTCTCGAGCTTAGTTCTCACAAAGGTTGTGTACACTGTAGTGAACAAGGTAGTATGTAACTTGGCGAATGTCCGTTTTAAAGCCCAGAGAGTTTTAAACCCCTTAGCTGCGACCTCCTGGCAATGGGCCGTCGTCTTAAGAGCATGACTCACTGTCACCCCTAGATCCTCATGAGACCGGACCACGGGTACAGACACTTCCACTATGTTGTACTTATTAACCTTTGTATCCCTATAGTGCATGTAGGCACACTAACTCATTAATAGGCATGAACTATTCTGTGGACCAGTTAATCACATGATTCAAGTCTGCTTGAAGTGCGTATGCATCTGCGTCTCCCATTATTTCTCGCCAGATTTATACATCGTCAGCGTATAATAACATTGGGGACTGTATTATACTTGGGAGATCATTTACATGCAGTATGGAAAGTAAAAGAACTAGGATAGAACCTTGAGGTACTCCACTAAGTACTGGTCTCCAGGTGGAGCACTTGGAATTTATACTTAGTTCCCGTCTACGACCTACTGGGAAATCTTTAAGCCATTTTAAATGAGGTCCGGCAATACCAAGATTTTGTTGGCACCTTGTTGAATGCCTCACTCTATTAAGACATCCACTGAGTTTTTCGTTGTCTAGAGCCTTTACCTAATGTTTTCGTGCTATAAGGAGGTTTGCCGTGAAAAATTATTCCTTCCTTAAACTATGTTGTTCACTGTTTAACATGTCGTTGGTTTCCACAAATGTCATTATGGCCTTTTTGACTATTCGTCCCAATATTTTAACTACGACGCTGGTGAGGCTGACAGGTCTGTAGTTCGGTGGAAGTTGTTTTGGTCCTGCCTTATGTATGGGAGTGACGACTGCATCATTCCAGTCCATAGGTAACACACCTTGGTTAAGTGACTTATTGAATATCACAGTCATTGGGGTGGCGATGTATTGTGAAATATGTATCGGGATTTTGGGGCTTAGTTCGTCCTATCCTGTTGACTTTTCCATGCACAAGGTGCTGTGATTCTTAAAAAAATCGTCTCGATCAAAGTCCACGGTGAGAAGGAGGTTTGTTGATTTTGAATGTGGGTCTATTCCTTTGTCTAGAAGAGGTTCCTGAGTGAAAACTGCCCAAAATAGTCAGCAATAGCCTCTGCTTTTTCCTGATTTTCCTCTATCGTTTCAGAATCACTCACCTCTTTGATTAGGTTGAGTATTCAATGATGCATCCTTGTTCTGTAATATATGTATGAGAATAGTCTCTAAGGCTACTTAGGTGCAGACTGTGCTAACTGAATTTCATATTCTCTCAGAGTTTCCCGGATTTTAATTATACGTTTGTTTCTTACCGACCTGCAGCGCCCCATCGTACCTGCTGTGCCAAGGCGGATGGCAACATCCCAACACTTCTTTTGTCTTAGTAAACGTCGAATATCCCGCCCTATCTAGGGATGGCCGTGCTTCTTCTTCTTTGGGACTGTCCAGGGTATGTATAGTTGAGTTACCCGATTGTATAACTGTCTGAAATGAGTCCATGTCTCTTGTACTGGTACCCTTGTGTCAATTTCCCAGTTTTTAGCCTATGCTGCGGGGTTGATTGCCTCTATATCTGCCTTCCATATATTAGGACGGGCCGGCGCAACTGTTTGATAGGCAATCTCCGCCATGAATTCGAATAATATGACTGCATGGTCACTTCTCTTTGTAGTGGGCGGAAAGTCATTTGACCGACATCATCATCGTGTGTGAAAGCTAAATCTAAAAGAGAAGAGCTTCTTAAGTCATATCTTGTGAGATTTCTAATGTGCTGGGATAAAGCTAATCCATTAGAGGTTTCTAACAGTTTGCAATCAAATGACGTTATCAATGAACCTACTTCTAAGGTAACCCTGTTAGTACAGTGAATTAAAGTCTCCTACTACAAGATTTATCCTTATTACACCAGCACTTAAGTTTGCTTAGGAGGGAGTCATCTACTAAGCATTCTGGACTGAGATGTACAACAACTAATTCAACATCTTGCCGTCTGTATTTCAACCTATGACGCACCAGTTCAAACGTACTTGAATCATGTGCCACTGTCTTAACTGCTCATATGGTTAAAAGGGCTTCTCATGCACAGGATAACCCCGCCTCCCCTACGTTTAATCTATCAGCCCTACTGGATTAAAAACCAGTCGACTGAATTTCATTACCGAACACTTCTGACGTTAACCATGATTCTGAGACAGCTATAAAATCCGGCTTTTCAATATCTGCCATTGTCTTTAGCTCCGCCATTTTATTTTGTAGGCTGCGAGCATTTGTACAACACTCCTTTAAATCTGTGCAGAACTTTCCCTTGCCTTCCAGAGTGGTTTGGGGATCGTTTCGCTCCAAACTTTTACAATTTAAAGACCCTTATGTACGAGATGTCTTTCATAGTTTCAGTGGCGCTCTTTTTTCTACTTCTGCAGCCCGCATGCTAATAAGGTCAATCAAGCTGGGACCCTCAAGAACGTAGATTCCGGATCGAATCAGTTTGCGTGAGTTTCGCAGTTTCAGTTTTCTTTCATCAACAGTAGCAAGGGTAATCTTTAAGAAGCGACTTTTATAAGTACTTTCAGAATCCACATTTTTTCACCTATTATGTAAAGTTCACAGATGCTAACTCCTGAGACTGTTTCTGGGAGTAGCTTGCTTATTAGGGACTTAATGTGACTGAGGTCGAGCTCATGTCTAGCCTTTGGTTCCTTTTCAGAGAAATTCTTTTAATTTATGAAAAATGACTGACCTCTCAGTGAGGTACGTCTCAACACGTTGTGGAATGGTAGTTCCTGAAATCGACTCCACCGTGTAATCCGATTCCAATTTAGCGTGAAACGCCGTAGTCACATTCTGTTTTCTTACTTTTCTCTTCCTAAGTGTGAATGTGAGCTACTCATTTACCTTATTTTGTCTCCTGATCACATCCTCTACACCGCTCATGCATGGCTTCCCATAGTTTGTTTTGCGTTGATATGTGGATCCGGAACTTAAACCGTGAATTCACGTAACTTAGTACTGTCTATAAGTAATTTTTTCTTCTCAGCCCACGTTTTCTTTTTCCTTGTGACAATACATACACCCATATGCTTGTTATCTGTTTACCTGATAGGGTCCACCTTTATGGTCACATCCAATTGTGGAGCTGGGCTCATGATAATGCTCTCTATTTCCTCGAAAACGGAATTCTACTCATCTACTTCTGCCTGTTTATATGGGGGCAGTTATATAGCTATGTTCAGCAGCTCAATCGCCTGTAAAATCTGCAGAAACGTTGTAGAACAACATGCTTTGCACAGCCAATGTGATAATTGCTTGCGGCACCACTTATAGGCAGCCAGTGTGAGTCCGGTGCACACATTGTGATACCACTTATTGCAGTTGTAACATTGCGCCCGATCATCGACAGGGAATTAGCATTCAGGTCTTCCACAACAATGTTTTACTTGTACCATAAATTTGTTTTTTGATCTTATAGCGAAAACAGATCTCTGGATAATGTGTCTTCTGAAACTTGATAAGTGAGAAACACTGAACACGAACAAGAATAGAGGTTTGTGCATAACTGTACCGAACAATAATAAAGAAAATCTGAGTTCGGTAGTTACAAAAAGACCGTAACACCTATGGATACAAACAATACTCAAAGATATACTCAACGATTGAGAATAAATACTAGTGCTCTTAGTTTTTTTGTATCTGTACTCGTAAAGTACAGATGATAAATTTCTCTAGAAAAAGGGCGGTACTCTTTGGAATTACTTTAACTAAGGCAAATCCAATAAAGCGAAAACAGTAGTTTTGATATGTGGTTCAACTATCAATACTAAAAATATACTCAGGGGAAATATACCACTATCCTTCCTGAATAGCGCGCGTTTTGCGGTTTGAACTACCCTCATGCAACTAG